GATATCTAGTTATATATCCGGATTTAACTATTTTATAAACGGATTTAAAAAAGTATATATAATTATATATCCGGATTTAAAACAGTACTTATAAAGATATCCGATTATATATCCGGATCCAAGCTCTACTGTAAGTTTCTATGTACAAAAATTAATAAATTAATAAATAAATAACCTATCTTATAGATATAGTCCCAGTTGATCAGCGTAACCATTACAGTACTTATTAAGATAAAGGGATTTTGATAATATAGAAGAGTTTTGTTTTTGACCAAGTGTTTTCCGTTTTTCAAAGTCTGTTTATATACTGTTTATATACTGTATATACTATATATATTGATTAAATTGGTCATGACATCAAAAATAGTGATAAGACTGGATCTTAAAACAAATATTTTATCCACAATTTTTTTCTTCCCGACAACTGGGTAATTATCTTTGAACGAGGACTGGGATTTTTTTGGATCTTGTCTTAAAGTTTTATATTGTATACGTATAATTAAAAAATAGGAACCGGAAAATCTTATCTAACATTTAGTCGCTTTCAAAGATACTTGCTCAACTATATAATCTCACACCGACAATCCTTTTTGATATCATTAAAAACAATATTCAATTTCGCGTTTTCCCTTAAATAAATATAATAATTAAAACAAAACTTAATAATAATGCTATTAATATTAATTGTATTTACCCGTCAGTAATGCTCCCAGATATTCGATAATATGGGTCATTAAAATCAATGTTGTCTCCGGCATATTTTCGTTTATCATCTGTATGTAATTTTCCGTATATTTTTTGGCTACTGTTCCTTTCTGGTTTTTTATTCATTATGGAGACGGTTATCGAATTCTTTCCTCTTTTCATTTTGGTTTTGACCTATATTATACGGTCGAATGAGTTATATTTTCGATTCCTTAAAAAACAGGAGTCAAAAATACTTACAGCCCAAGTAATTACAAGGTAATGAAGTTTTTTTTTTCCTTTTTACTTCAAATGATAGTATGCCTCTTGATACTATCCCTCCTGAAATTTTTCTGTTTTATAATAAAGTTAATTGCTGTATATATTAACCGTAATAAAGAAACCAAGAATTCTTACGCAGTATCTGTTTTTGAAGAACCAATGTCATCCACCGCTAAATCATTAATATTACTAGTCGTAAAAAATTCGGGCTGATGAAGTAATAAAGTGCTGTGATTCTTGATATTCACTTCTAAGCTTGTGTGCAACCCTTTAATAATTTTCTTAATCACTTTCTCGGAAGCATAGGCAATATAATCGAATCTTGTGAGTTCCATTTTATTTATTCTTGTAATGTTAAAAAAACCAAAAAGTCGATTTTTGTCATAGTATTTATAGTTATAATATAGTTTGAAGTACTGTAATATGATCAATCATCACATACTGTAGATCTAAAAAAGCAGAAGTAATCGACAACATTGAACATTTGATAAACAACGTGTTGGATGGAAACAAAGTAAAAGAGAAATAACATAAGATTACAACATGGAACATTATCCTTATTATTTGATTCTCACGACTTTTTTTAAAGAAAGTAAAGGAAATAATATAAAAAAAATTGCAAAAAAAATCAAAAATATACTAGGTTATATAAATTAATAAAAATAAGGAAGACTTATTCAAAGTTATCTACTTAAAATAGGGGCTTGGGAAGGACACTCCGTTTAATCTGCTGTAATTGCCTTAAATACAGTACAGTACACTAGACATTCACGCCACTCGTGTATTGATTTACATCAATTAAAATGAACACAACTTTGTTAATATTCCTTTCTTAATTAGGAAGTGGCTGTTAAAGATATTTAAATAGACATTTAAAAAAAAACACTACTGACGGATTTTTTCCTACTTGGAGAAAAGATGCCGTGTACAACGTCACGGTTATTTATAAAAGACGTTTTTTATTGGAATTCTTGGAATATTATTTTGTCGTAAAATGGAACTCATAAAATTCACTCATTTATTTGGCATATTCGTGAACGGAGTTAAAGAAAAAATTAATATAAACTTAAATATCAGCCAACTTTGTATGGATTAAATAATATTCTTGTAATTGGATACGTGTAAAAGTGACTTATAAGAAAGTTTTACATTTATTTCTAACTTATATGGCGAACGACAAGTTTGTCGCCAAATAGTACAAAAATTGGTTATTCGTTAGTAATTTTACTAAATTTGTTTTATGTAGAAATGTGGGAGATGATTTTTTGTCTTGACCAAATTCACATAGTTCAGTCATTAAAAAAAATCTATCTAAAATAATAAAATAAAGATAAATAAATGATAACAAGATGTTAGGACAACACATACAGTATAATAAGTTACATCCTCTTACATTGTAATTATTGATCTAACATGTTTGGGTCGAGTTTTCATCATACTAAGCTGATAATGTGACTGACAGCTCATTCTCATTTTTTTCCATATGTGAATTTTAAATTTATCCTAGCATTACAGTATAAGGCTTCATTTGACATGCCAAATCCAAGTTTGTATATTGTGATACTTTGGCAAGGTAAATCATTTGACAATATTTTACCGGGTTCAATATTAACCAACATAATATTCAATGAATTCCCATAGTGTACCAGAGTGTCTCATATAATGCATATTTTACAAACTGTGTTCCAATATTAATCAATATACGCTTGTTACGAAGTACATTAATATAGAGATTGATTTGTCTTAAACGTAAACCTCAGAGTTCAAGCAACAGACATTATTAAATAGAATCCTTTTTATTTTAAGACATATATACTGTAAGAGTTAAAATAATAAGTGCTATACTCGTGTACCTTTATCATATAACACGATTATGTGGCCATAGAAAATGTAAGCGGCGTAATAGATGGGTAATACGGATATGGAGATCGTACGCGCCACGCAACGAACAACGATACTGGCACGACAGGTTAAATTGACGACTGCGAGCGGAGAAAATGACATTGTAAAGATTATTATATACCCGTTTTGTGATAATACTTTATCTTATTATTCTATATTCGGTATGTTTAATTAATTTATGTGATGATCAAAAAGTTTATAATAAAAGTTAGAGATGCTGCGAGTTATTAAAGATACTAGAGAGAGGAGTGAGAAGAAGAACCAGATCAAATAAATACGCCCCAATACTTATTCACTATCTTTAAAAATTCACCCGTAACGGCTACACGAATCTCTGTTGGCATTAGCGGCGGAGAGAAATGGGACGCGATTTTTGTCACGTGACCAATCATTGTGACAATGGTAGGTTGGCTGTAATAATTAGGTAATAGCGAGTAACGAAAGAAATTAATGAGAGAAATTATCTAAGATAGCATTAAAGCCTCGTCATTGTACCATAGCTTATTACCCTATGCCCAAGCCGCCATAGCCAAATGTAAAGAAAGAGAGTATAAAAAGAATGTAAAATGTAAGGAAGCGAGATAGGAATTTGATAAGAAAATATATAAAGACTCGGTCAAATAAAAACACACCTCAAATCACCCTTTCATTTATTTATCTGACAACCGTTACGCGAATCTCTGCTAAAGTTAGCGACTGACTCGCCGTTACACCATTACAATAGCAAGTCTGTTTATTTCTGACAGGTTTCGCTAATATCAAGTGAAAAAAAGAATTACATTTAGGATACAGGGCGTATGACTAACCAAATATTTTAAATAAAAAGGTTATTTACTAGTAGAAAAACCCCTCACACTTTTCTGCTTATTTTCCAAAAATATCTTACTTTCTTCATACGCATTACAAAAAGCCAATTGATTTTGATATTTTTGCAATGGTTTTTGAGGTCATCATGGAAAAACAAATTCGGATAGCTACAAAAGTGGAAATTAAATGAATAAGCAAATAGTATTGTTATGTTTTCATCTTTATAAGACAATAAACTTTAGAACTTTTTTAATATTATATCAAGTTAATAAGAATATATAAATAGTAATATAGGAAGAACAATGTTGTAAATATACAGTAGTATCTATGTCGCATCATATTAAAGTAGTATGATTATGATTATGAAACATAAATTATCCCGGAGTAAAATTATTGAAAACTCCCATTCGTATTGTGTGTAAACATGAGATTCTAAGATTTTCACCTTAATCGAACAACTTATGGTTAGGCTTTTATTAATTATGTAGCAACAGGGTAAAAAACTTTGTTGACCTAACTTATAACAATTGTAATATGTAAATGGAAATGGCAGGATTTCTGTGTACGACATCATAATAGTCAAATTATAAAGCGTTGAAATATTTCTCTTTCGGTCTTAACTTTATTCATTAACGAAATGCATCTAATAAAATCCAATAGTTTGCCTGATACAATTGTGCAAGAATTTAAAAAATCCATTCGTGATTTGCATGTAAGCCTAGAAATCAATATTATAAATAAAAACAAATCATTGAAACTTTGCAATCCTGAATTTTTCCGTGGATGCAAAGTTAAAATTCCAATAGAGAATGACATTGATCCTTCGGCCAATAATGCGTAAGTACTTACGTTGTTTTTATAATAATGGATATGTGATTAACTCTTGTTATAAACAGACAAATCTCCGGAAAGCTTGCTTCAAGAGGCATACTGTCATTTGACGTGCAAGATAAAGACAGGAAACCTCTTTACCTAATAATTACATGGGCCGTGAGTATTTTTGAGAGGTTAATATTTAAAGTTTTGGAAATTCTGACAAATTTATTGGGAAATAGGTCAAAACTGCAATGAAGAGGGGAAGAAACTCTGTAGCCATCACAATATGTGATAAGAAACTTGAAAAAGAAAATAGTCGTTATTCATACAAAATGTTGCATATAAAACAGAATAGGAAATATCCTGGCGACTATATTAATCCTGATAACATACATTATCGTATATCTGGAGGTATTACCGACGGGTAAATGCAATTAATTTTCTCATTTATAAATTATCGCTTTTAATAATGCGTTTTAATTTCAGGAGAAAAGTAAAATTGACTATTATTTTACATGAGTCTTAAACATCTTTTTCTGTATAGAATATCGATCTTTGTCATTCTAACCGGAAGGAATTACTGTGCTCTTGCACTATATAGATATAGCAATATTTCAAGGTACCCCTGCCAATTAACGCTTATGACAAATGCAATGGTTACATTATGTAACTTAATGGTTAAAATTATCATTTACTGTAATTCCTTATAACGCGTATGTATTGAAGCAGAACGATGCACAAATAAGATCAATAGTGATATTGTGTATCGTAAAGGTTATCAATAAACAAATTGATATTGTATCATGAACCCCTTTTTTGTTAGCATTCTTGGGGTTTTAAGATAGGATGGATCACTGCATCGTTTCTCTCCACAGATCTCAGTCTTAATGTATTATTATCAGAAACCCGAAAACCACAAGTTTTGCCACGTAGTTCGTTATGGCCTTGACCAACTACCAAGACAAAGATACGTATACAATAATTGTGAGTATGTGGGAAACATAGAGTTGAAATCATGATATAATTGTGTTTGCATCTTTGATTTATTGAAACATTATATAAAATAACTATCTAAAAAACTGTTAATGAGTTGAGCAGGAGTATTTACTATTGTTATCGTTATTTCTGGCGAGTCTGTCGCTATCCCGGGACAAGCACTCGCGTAACGATAAGTGTTAGGGTAAGCTCTTCTCTTCTTTGAGGTGTGTAACGATTTGGCCGATGGTTCTAATACTTCTCTTGATTGCTAGACCGGTACTCGATCCACACCGCGATTTCCTTTTCCGGCTTCTCTGGATCTTCCACGGTACACTAGTTTATCTTTAGAGTAGTATATCAAAGGCACAAATGACAGTTTATTCCTTTATTAAGTGAAGATTACCAATTACAATATTAGCCGATTCTTATTCTATTTCTGGGTCACCCTACTTCTATTTATATTATTAGAGTCGCGTACAATTATCTACTGTCACGTCATGCAAATCGCACTAAGCTCAAGAAGCTTCGGCGCCTATCACTGATGCATGATAAATGCATCACGTTACTGCGCCACACCGCGCCATCCATTTTCCCCACAACACCATATAATGTATACTTTGCATATGAGAAATCATAAATTCAATATCCACAAACGAGAAAATCAAAAAAATATATTCATAATTATCATAACCTATGCAAAATAACTAACCAGTAAAATACTTGTTATTTTATCTTTGAATGAGGTTGTTGATATTGTGGTTAAATTGAAATGATATCTTATGTACACTGATTGAGCTAGTGTTCCCGAATGGGTCGGGTCAACCCGAAACTCAACCCGATCCCAACTCGAAATTTTATATTTTGGGTCAGATCATTTGCTTGCGTAACAATTTCGGGTTGGGTCAGATTGGGTCGGGTCAAAATCGTGTTCGACCCGTTATATGTTTAAAAAAAACTAAGCAGTTACTTTATCTACTGTATAATCAAATTTTTAAACAAAATTATATTTGATATAAATTCTTTATTTATAATTGAACTCGCTCTGTCTCGATTTCTAAATAAGGAAAGATCATCATATTCTGACAATTCTGATGTTGATCTTGTTTATAGCATATCTTTGATTCTTTACCTACGTTATCATTGATTCTGTAAACTTAATTGGTGCCCTCTAGGTTCACATGTTAAAACCTTTGTTTCTTTTCCTTAACCATTTATAAAATTAATGTGCTCTTTTATAAGTTATTCTCTTTCACCATATGAAACTGGAAATTCTTTTTTGCTTGAGTCCGGTTCCGATAATCATGAGTTTTCAAATTCGGAAAATTTGGGGTCAACCTGTAAACAAACAAAATAGATAATTTTGATGATTTTATTATTTCAATAAAACGAACAAAATGGACAATTTTGGTGATTTTATTATTTCAATAATTACCAAAATATACTGTATTCTTGCCTTATAGTTTCCGCACCCGATGGATAGTAACAATTTCAACTTCTTCTGATGGAATGGCTATTGTACGTATCTGATTTGATTCGTAGCGTAGGTGACAAAGTATTCTTTCTTATTAAAATTTTAATTTTAATATACATAGGATATGGAATTTAGGGAAAGGCGTTTCCATGTCTGTATTTGATGGCCATCACGGACGGGTATTGTGTACTGCATGAAGTTTAGAGGATAAGGATTTAGTTTTCACGGGAGGAGATGACGCGATGTGCTTCGGCTGAAGATCATCTAAAAATATTTGCGAATTTTCGACTAGTATTTATTTATTACAAAAATGTCTGTTTACTCTTATACTTGCGGTAAACCATTAATACCATTATGTCGATCAACAACAATTATTACAAAACGGGCACAACACGGAAACCTCCCTAACATTAAACCCAAATCAAGTCCTTATATCAACGGCTGACATGAATATGTCCACATCTTCGCATGCAAAACAACCTTGCCCATCGAACCCAATTGTAGGGTAGATATTCGTACGTCAAAGAAGAATAAGAAATTTAAAAATTTACTACTATTGAGTACAACAACACCTGTTCGACGTATGAACCTTCAATATTGCATTTTCGATCTTGCAAAAAGGTTATATGGTGATGAATTAGTAAAAGCATTAAAATTTTAGATTGAAGAAGAGAGCTTTAACGATAATGATCAACAAAGCCCATTGTCCGTATATTTATTTTCGGAGAAGGAAATAATACAAGAAGATTAATTGAAAAAGAAGGTGATCCACAACATTCTCCTTTTATTACCTGTATATAAAATTTTACTCATTATATTTATTTTTTAATATATATCTTGAAGTTTTATCGCACAATTCCTCAGGGTTGTCTATTGGTATAGGTGGCCTATAAGTTAATCCAAGTTTCCCACTGGAATTATGGTCAAATAATTTTTCTAGTTTAGTTAGATTCTGTGAAGAATAAAAGAACTTTCTAATCAAGATTGGATACTTCTTGCACTTATTCCCTTAGATACGCAGATGGCTTTGATTAACAAATTTATTTTATACTCGTTTATAATATTAAAATAATAATATTTAGCCGGACGAGATGTATGGCAATTTTTAATGCGCCTGCAAGCGTTGGTTAGCATGTGGGGAGATATATCAGGCTATTGACGTCTACATAAAACTGAGATGTATCGGTAAGTGAAAGATTCAAATTCACAATTAAGCGAAAACCAATATATCATTTTTTTATTTATACAGTGAGGCTATTGCACTCACAAATCTGTGGCTTATTCCTGAAGACTAAATAGTATCAGAGTTGTGTTGTTCTTGGGCTATTCAACTTGAGAAAGAAGAAGCTTATGAACAAGCTGCTATATGGTAAGTTGATATAAAACTTCGGATCGATGAAATTTATTTAATACATGAATAATTTTTTACCAACATATGTAAAATTTAATAAGTTGCTTGATCGTAATTAAGAATTAATGATGATGTCAAACATGTCTGTAGGAAAAATAAATTGGGAAGCGATTAATAATAGAGGATTAGATAAGCGGCAGGAAAAGAATATTAGCATACAAGCAAAAATATTCATGTAAATACAATTTAATAAATCAAGATAATTGTACAAGCGCATAAAGTATTTAAGAAGTCTCGGTTATAAGCATTAATTGTAGTATATACAGTAAATCGATATCATTATTTATTATAGCACTATTTTCGTCACTAAAAATTAAATTATTTCAAATGCTTTAATTAGCCAAAGATCCATTACTTTATTTTATTATGATAAAAAAATTTTATAATAATATAATTTTTAACAATAAAAAAATAATATTTAAAATTAGATAAAAATTATTTTTTTATTGTTTGAAAAATTGAAAAAAAAAAAATTATATTTCTATGCAAATATTCGGATATTATGATAAATCGGTTTCTTACAATATATTCAATTAATTATTTGAATTCATGTGTAATTTAATTACAGTACAAGAAACAAATCAAGAAAATTATGGGTGGGAAATTAAAATAGTGTAGATAATTAGGAAACAAGTAAAAAAATAAATGTTCCCCGAAAAAAATTAATTGAAAGTAAGTGTTCTAATAACCAATCAAATTTTATCACATATAACCCGAATCTGACCTAACCCGATGATCTTCGGGTCAGGTTCGGGTTAATGATTGACCTGATCCAAACCCGAAAATTATTAAACGGGTCGTATCGGGTCAAACCCGAACCCGACCCTAACTGACCCATTCGGAACATAGAATAGGCGCAGTATGGTGATTATTAAAAAATGTGATTTTTAAATCAATTTTTTTAAAAAAATAATGTACAGACGGGTGACAGAAAATTAGGACGTCTATCAATTTTTTATAGTAAAACATGAAGTTTCTGTGCTATATGAAAGTTACTGTTTTTTCTAATAAATAATTTTTTATTTCACACCAACATTAAAAATATTTTTTTTTTTATTTTTTAAAAATTTTTTACAGGAACGGTTCTAATTGAGAAAAAAAGTTGAGAATCTTTTCCTAAGTATTATATATAAAAATCATAAAATTACGTTTTAGTGACTGGGTCGGTCTATACAGGAAAGGTTTTTAGAATAATAAAGCCCCTTTTTGAGAAGTACAATTGATGCCTTACATAATTATATTAAATAAAATGTTGTTATTTTTAAAATCATAAACTTTTATATGGCGAAAATTTTGATTTTTACTATATTTTATTATAAAAAAGTTGATAGACGTTGTGACGGGCAAACGGCGAGTCTGTCGCTAATGCCAACAGGGGTTCGCGTAACCGTCACTCGTGATTCTTTAATTAAAAATAAGTGATTTGAGGCGCACGATTCAGCCGAGTCTTTCTTACTTCTTGTACACGCGCTCCTCCCCTTCTCTTTATTAACAACATTTTCTCACTTATTTATACATTCTCACATCGTTACATGAAATAAGCTAATTATACTAATTATAGAATGATG